GGTGGGCTCCAGTGTTTATACTTCAGGAGCACTGAACTGATGGGCTCCAGAGTTTATACTTCAGGAGCACTGAACTGGTGGGCTCCAGTGTTTATACTTCAGGAGCACTGAACTGGTGGGCTCCAGTGTTTATACTTCAGGAGCACTGAACTGGTGGGCTCCAGTGTTTATACTTCAGGAGCACTGAACTGGTGGGCTCCAGTGTTTATACTTCAGGAGCACTGAACTGATGGGCTCCAGAGTTTATACTTCAGGAGCACTGAACTGGTGGGCTCCAGTGTTTATACTTCAGGAGCACTGAACTGGTGGGCTCCAGTGTTTATACTTCAGGAGCACTGAACTGGTGGGCTCCAGTGTTTATACTTCAGGAGCACTGAACTGGTGGACTCCAGTGTTTATACTTCAGGAGTACTGAACTGGTGGGCTCCAGTGTTTATACTTCAGGAGCACTGAACTGGTGGGCTCCAGTGTTTATACTTCAGCACTGAACTGGTGGGCTCCAGTGTTTATACTTCAGGAGCACTGAACTGGTGGGCTCCAGTGTTTATACTTCAGGAGCACTGAACTGGTGGGCTCCAGAGTTTATACTTCAGCACTGAACTGGTGGGCTCCAGTGTTTATACTTCAGGAGCACTGAACTGGTGGGCTCCAGAGTTTATACTTCAGCACTGAACTGGTGGGCTCCAGTGTTTATACTTCAGGAGCACTGAACTGGTGGGCTCCAGTGTTTATACTTCAGGAGCACTGAACTGATGGGCTCCAGTGTTTATACTTCAGGAGCACTGAACTGGTGGGCTCCAGTGTTTATACTTCAGGAGCACTGAACTGGTGGGCTCCAGTGTTTATACTTCAGGAGCACTGAACTGGTGGGCTCCAGTGTTTATACTTCAGGAGCACTGAACTGGTGGGCTCCAGTGTTTATACTTCAGGAGCACTGAACTGGTGGGCTCCAGTGTTTATACTTCAGGAGCACTGAACTGGTGGGCTCCAGTGTTTATACTTCAGGAGCACTGAACTGGTGGGCTCCAGTGTTTATACTTCAGGAGCACTGAACTGGTGGGCTCCAGTGTTTATACTTCAGGAGCACTGAACTGATGGGCTCCAGTGTTTATACTTCAGGAGCACTGAACTGGTGGGCTCCAGTGTTTATACTTCAGGAGCACTGAACTAATGGGCTCCAGTGTTTATACTTCAGGAGCACTGAACTGATGGGCTCCAGTGTTTGTACTTCAGGAGCACTGAATTGGTGGGCTCCAGTGTTTATACTTCAGGAGCACTGAACTGGTGGGCTCCAGTGTTTATACTTCAGGAGCACTGAATTGGTGGGCTCCAGTGTTTATACTTCAGGAGCACTGAACTGGTGGGCTCCAGTGTTTATACTTCAGGAGCACTGAACTGGTGGGCTCCAGTGTTTATACTTCAGGAGCACTGAACTGTTGGGCTCCAGTGTTTATACTTCAGGAGCACTGAACTGGTGGGCTCCAGTGTTTATACTTCAGGAGCACTGAACTGGTGGGCTCCAGTGTTTATACTTCAGGAGCACTGAACTGGTGGGCTCCAGTGTTTATACTTCAGGAGCACTGAACTGGTGGGCTCCGGTGTTTATACTTCAGGAGCACTGAACTGGTGGGCTCCAGAGTTTATACTTCAGGAGCACTGAACTGGTGGGCTCCAGAGTTTATACTTCAGGAGCACTGAACTGGTGGGCTCCAGAGTTTATACTTCAGGAGCACTGAACTGGTGGGCTCCAGTGTTTATACTTCAGAGCACTGAACTGGTGGGCTCCAGTGTTTATACTTCAGGAGCACTGAACTGGTGGGCTCCAGAGTTTATACTTCAGGAGCACTGAACTGGTGGGCTCCATGTTTATACTTCAGGAGCACTGAACTGGTGGGCTCCAGAGTTTATACTTCAGGAGCACAGAACTGGTGGGCTCCAGTGTTTATACTTCAGGAGCACTGAACTGGTGGGCTCCAGTGTTTATACTTCAGGAGCACTGAACTGGTGGGCTCCAGTGTTTATACTTCAGGAGCACTGAACTGGTGGGCTCCAGTGTTTATACTTCAGGAGCACTGAACTGGTGGGCTCCAGTGTTTATACTTCAGGAGCACTGAACTGATGGGCTCCAGTGTTTATACTTCAGGAGCACTGAACTGGTGGGCTCCAGAGTTTATACTTCAGGAGCACTGAACTGGTGGGCTCCAGAGTTTATACTTCAGGAGCACTGAACTGGTGGGCTCCAGTGTTTATACTTCAAGAACACTGAACTGGTGGGCTCCAGAGTTTATACTTCAGGAGCACTGAACTGGTGGGCTCCAGTGTTTATACTTCAAGAACACTGAACTGGTGGGCTCCAGAGTTTATACTTCAGGAGCACTGAACTGGTGGGCTCCAGTGTTTATACTTCAGGAGCACTGAACTGATGGGCTCCAGTGTTTATACTTCAGGAACACTGAACTGGTGGGCTCCAGTGTTTATACTTCAGGAGCACTGAACTGATGGGCTCCAGTGTTTATACTTCAGGAGCACTGAACTGGTGGGCTCCAGTGTTTATACTTCAGGAGCACTGAACTGGTGGGCTCCAGAGTTTATACTTCAGGAGCACTGAACTGGTGGGCTCCAGTGTTTATACTTCAGGAGCACTGAACTGGTGGGCTCCAGAGTTTATACTTCAGGAGCACAGAACTGGTGGGCTCCAGTGTTTATACTTCAGGAGCACTGAACTGGTGGGCTCCAGTGTTTATACTTCAGGAGCACTGAACTGGTGGGCTCCAGTGTTTATACTTCAGGAGCACTGAACTGGTGGGCTCCAGTGTTTATACTTCAGGAGCACTGAACTGGTGGGCTCCAGTGTTTATACTTCAGGAGCACTGAACTGATGGGCTCCAGTGTTTATACTTCAGGAGCACTGAACTGGTGGGCTCCAGAGTTTATACTTCAGGAGCACTGAACTGGTGGGCTCCAGAGTTTATACTTCAGGAGCACTGAACTGGTGGGCTCCAGTGTTTATACTTCAAGAACACTGAACTGGTGGGCTCCAGAGTTTATACTTCAGGAGCACTGAACTGGTGGGCTCCAGTGTTTATACTTCAAGAACACTGAACTGGTGGGCTCCAGAGTTTATACTTCAGGAGCACTGAACTGGTGGGCTCCAGTGTTTATACTTCAGGAGCACTGAACTGATGGGCTCCAGTGTTTATACTTCAGGAACACTGAACTGGTGGGCTCCAGTGTTTATACTTCAGGAGCACTGAACTGATGGGCTCCAGTGTTTATACTTCAGGAGCACTGAACTGGTGGGCTCCAGTGTTTATACTTCAGGAGCACTGAACTGGTGGGCTCCAGTGTTTATACTTCAGGAGCACTGAACTGATGGGCTCCAGTGTTTATACTTCAGGAGCACTGAACTGGTGGGCTCCAGTGTTTATACTTCAGGAGCACTGAACTGGTGGGCTCCAGTGTTTATACTTCAGGAGCACTGAACTGATGGGCTCCTGTGTTTATACTTCAGGAGCACTGAACTGGTGGGCTCCAGTGTTTATACTTCAGGAGCACTGAACTGGTGGGCTACAGTGTTTATACTTTAGGAGCACTGAACTGGTGGGCTCCAGTGTTTATACTTCAGGAGCACTGAACTGGTGGGCTCCAGTGTTTATACTTCAGGAGCACTGAACTGATGGGCTCCAGTGTTTATACTTCAGGAGCACTGAACTGGTGGGCTCCAGTGTTTATACTTCAGGAGCACTGAACTAATGGGCTCCAGTGTTTATACTTCAGGAGCACTGAACTGATGGGCTCCAGTGTTTGTACTTCAGGAGCACTGAACTGGTGGGCTCCAGTGTTTATACTTCAGGAGCACTGAACTGATGGGCTCCAGTGTTTATACTTCAGGAGCACTGAACTGGTGGGCTCCAGTGTTTATACTTCAGGAGCACTGAACTGGTGGGCTCCAGTGTTTATACTTCAGGAGCACTGAACTGGTGGGCTCCAGTGTTTATACTTCAGGAGCACTGAACTGGTGGGCTCCAGTGTTTATACTTCAGGAGCACTGAACTGGTGGGCTCCAGTGTTTATACTTCAGGAGCACTGAACTGGTGGGCTCCAGAGTTTATACTTCAGGAGCACAGAACTGGTGGGCTCCAGTGTTTATACTTCAGGAGCACTGAACTGGTGGGCTCCAGTGTTTATACTTCAGGAGCACTGAACTGGTGGGCTCCAGTGTTTATACTTCAGGAGCACTGAACTGGTGGGCTCCAGTGTTTATACTTCAGGAGCACTGAACTGGTGGGCTCCAGTGTTTATACTTCAGGAGCACTGAACTGATGGGCTCCAGTGTTTATACTTCAGGAGCACTGAACTGGTGGGCTCCAGAGTTTATACTTCAGGAGCACTGAACTGGTGGGCTCCAGAGTTTATACTTCAGGAGCACTGAACTGGTGGGCTCCAGAGTTTATACTTCAGGAGCACTGAACTGGTGGGCTCCAGTGTTTATACTTCAAGAACACTGAACTGGTGGGCTCCAGAGTTTATACTTCAGGAGCACTGAACTGGTGGGCTCCAGTGTTTATACTTCAAGAACACTGAACTGGTGGGCTCCAGAGTTTATACTTCAGGAGCACTGAACTGGTGGGCTCCAGTGTTTATACTTCAGGAGCACTGAACTGATGGGCTCCAGTGTTTATACTTCAGGAGCACTGAACTGGTGGGCTCCAGTGTTTATACTTCAGGAGCACTGAACTGGTGGGCTCCAGTGTTTATACTTCAGGAGCACCTTTAGGAGCACTGAGTAGTCACTGGGCTTCAGCCTGGCCCATGGCCGGGCTCTGGGAGTAGAAAGACTTGAAATACGTCATTAAAGGTTTAATGAGTGCTCGTTTTATAAATACTTCCGGAGCACTGAATAATCGCTGGGCTCCAGTGCTCCTCCGATAACCCACCTTCCTTACAACATAAACTGTATATTTCCCCGTTGTTTGCTAACGTTAAATTTTGTGTTTCAGTCGAAAATGGTTACCTCCACCTCTACGGAAGCTGAGTCAAGGGCGTGTAGAGCGCGTGACCTCTCCCTCGGCTACTACTCCTGCACTTGATCCTGCCCACAACAAGCCAGACCACACGCATAATAAAGACCACGCCCCTAACAGACAGGACCACGCCCACAAACACCAGTTCAGGAAGGCGTATTCTGAACGCAGGTTTAAGGTGAGTACAATACTTGTATGACTTAGGTTCACTTAGTTTCTGGCTCTACACTAGCCTGTGTTGTGTTATATAGTGTTACAAGTGTAACATGACTGCACCGGCCCCTCTTATGTTGTTACATTGTGTATTACAAGTGTAACATATTACCGGCCTCTGATATGTTGTTGCATGGTGTGTGTTACAAGTGTAATATAACTACACTAACATCAGTTATTACATTATAAGCTACTTATGCTAGTAGTGTAACTGGGAAAAATCGTAACTTTTCCTGGATGGCGAGCGATCGAACCGGTTGGGCGGAGGACTCAGTGGTGCAGCATTGGACCTGCTACATGCATGGATCATCTGGTGTTCTGTTTATCCATCGACACCCGTTCATTACAGCTTACCAAATTCTCGAAACCATATATACGTATATATAATATAAAATATAGGGAGGTACCACCTCTAGAACTGTCCTAGGGACCCTCATCCTCAGAGAAAAGAATAAACTTGCTTCAGGGAAAACTCAAGGTTCTCCCTGAAGCTGTTTGAGAATTTTCTCCTACCACCCCCTATATTTAATATATACATGTATTTTATTTAAAGACAAAATACATTGACAAAACATTCACAAAAATACAATAGAAAGTAAAACTACCTAGATAACAACTCAGAGCTACATCTCGAATACTTATATATAATTGTATAATATATATATATATATATATATATATATATATATATATATATATATATATATATATATATATATATATATATATATATATGTTATTTTTAGTAATTATTTAGCAATTAGTAATTATTTTGGGAGTGTGTGCAAAGGTAGAAAGTTGAAAGTGAACATAGAAAAGAGTAAGGTGATGAGGGTATCAAATGATTTAGATAAAGAAAAATAGGATATCAAACTAGGGAGGAGGAGTATGGAAGAAGTGAATGTTTTCAGATATTTGGGAGTTGACGTGTCGGCGGATGGATTTATGAAGGATGAGGTTAATCATAGAATTGATGAAGGAAAAATGGTGAGTGGTGCATTGAGGTATATGTGGAGACAAAAAAAAATCTATGGAGGCAAAGATGGGAATGTATGAAAGTATAGTAGTACCAACACTCTTATATGGATGTGAAGCTTGGGTGGTAAATGCAGCAGCGAGGAGACGGCTGGAGGCAGTGGAGATGTCCTGTCTAAGGGCAATGTGTGGTGTAAATATTATGCAGAAAATTCGGAGTGTGGAAATTAGGAGGTGTGGAGTTAATAAAAGTATTAGTCAGAGGGCAGAAGAGGGGTTGTTGAGGTGGTTTGGTCATTTAGAGAGAATGGATCAAAGTAGAATGACATGGAGAGCGTATAAATCTGTAGGGGAAGGAAGGCGGGGTAGGGGTCGTCCTCGAAAAGGTTGGAAGAAAAGGGTAAGGGAGGTTTTGTGGGCGAGGGGCTTGGACTTCCAGCAGGCGTGCGTGAGCGTGTTAGATAGGAGTGAATGGAGACAAATGGTATTTGGGACCTGACGAGCTGTTGGAGTGTGAGCAGGGTAATATTTAGTGAAGGGTTTCATGGAAACCGGTTATTTTATATAGCCAGACTTGAGTCCTGGAAATGGGAAGTACAATGCCTGCACTTTAAAGGAGGGGTTTGGGATATTAGCCGTTTAGAGGGATATGTTGTGTATCTTTATACGTATATGCTTCTAAACTGTTGTGTTCTGAGCACCTCTGCAAAAACAGTGATAATGTGTGAGTGAGGTGAAAGTGTTGAATGATGAAAGTACTTTCTTTTTGGGGATTTTTTCTTTTTGGGTCACCCTGCCTCGGTGGGAGACGACCGACTTGATTGTATATATATATATATAATATATATATATATATATATATATATATATATATATATATATATATATATATATATATATATATATATATATATATGTGTGTGTGTGTGTGTTTTCGATAATTTGAGCATGTGTGTTCCATGAAAGCTTCTGGGTCTTTAAGGAGAGAAAGCTTCGCGGCCCAGTGGTACAGCATTGGGTCTGCTGCATACAAGGACCACGCTTCGAGTCCCCGTCTAGTATTTTGTTTATTAATAAGGGTGCTTCAAGACAAGTCCCCTAGCTTCCTCTTCCAAGAGCATTGGCACTCTTATGCTCCTCCTATATCAAACTTCTGGAGCGTGCCTCTGGTGTGCGTCATGTAACCTGCTTTAACCTTGTCATTCCCATTACACAACAGTTACATACCCTCAACTTCATCACCCATTAGTAACTTCATTTTGGTAATAATGGCAGAATTACCAACAAAATGTTAAGCAAATGCTTGTAGTACCCTGTAGGTGGTGGTGTGTTGTGGTGGTGTTTGTGTTATCGTGTTGCTGGTGGTATTGTGTTGGTGGTGGTGTTAGTTTTGTGGTGATGTTGCTGGTGGTGATGTGCTGGTGTTGTGTTGGTGTTGTGGTGCTAATGATAGTGTGTTCGTGTGTTGTAGTACTCACCTAGTTATACTCGCTGAGTAATGGTTGCATGGGTTGAGACACTACTGACCCCACCTGGTGGGTTGGCTTGGACTACATCTTCCTGGACATTAGCCTCCTGGGTTCTGTCATACCTACTCTTAAAACTGTGAATGCAGGGAGTCGTCGTCGTCACCACCATCAAAAAACCACCAAAAACTACCACCACCATAACCACATCTAGTTCATTACTTTTTTTAAACACTTTGAGACTAAAATTTAACTTTGTTATAGTTCATCTTTGTCTTTATTATCTGTGTCCTCTTGTTCCTGGTGCTTTCCTCTGGAACTTCTCTTTGCCGTGTCAATTCCTCTCAGGATTTTATACGTGGAGGTTAGATTTGTTCTTACTCTCCTCGGGTCTATGGTCTTAAGATTTAATTCTTTGGTTCTTTCTGGCTCTCCTACCAACCATTACTTGGTCGTAACCTGCCTCTTCTCTCTTACCTCTCACTCCTCCCTACCTGTCACCCCTTCCCTGGCTTTCCTTGCCTCCCTCGTCTTGGTTTATATCTATATATATATATCTATGATATATATATATATATATAATTATATATTATATATACTATTTATTATAATATATACATATATATATTTATAATTATATATTTTATATATATTTATTTATATTATTTATATAGATATATATCTTAATATTTTAATATATAGATTTAATATATATTAATATATATATATAATATAATATATTTATTATATAGATATATATATATTTATATAATTTATATTAATATATTATTTTATATTTTAGTATATAATTATAATGTATATATTTTTATAATATATATATTTTAATTTATATTATATTTTTATATATATTTTTTTTTTTTTTTTCAACAAGTCGGTCGTCTCCCACCGAGCAGGGTGACCCAAAAAAAAAATGAAGAAAATCCCCAAAAAGAAATTCTTCATCATCTATTACAACACTGTATCCACCCTCACCAGTATCACTGCGTTTGCCAGACGGTGCTATGAATATAACGGTTTAGAAGCATTACGTATAGTGATACAAACCTATCCTCCAAACTGCCAATATCCCAAACCCATCTTTAAAGTGGCAGGGCATTGTACTTCCCATTTCCAGGATTCTCAAAGTCGACTATATGATAAATAACGGTTTCCCTGAATCCTTCACTAAATATTACCCTGCTACACTCCAACAGATCGTCAGGTCCCAGTTCATTCGTCTCCTTTCACGCTATTAACACGCTCATGCCACGCTTGCTGGAAGTCCAGCCCTCACCCACAAAAACCCTCCTTTACCCCCTCTTTCCAACCCTTTCGGGACGACCGCTACCCTCTTTCCGTCCCCTATTGATTTTGATGCTTTCCATGTCATTCTACTTGGATCCATTCTCTCTTAATTGACCAAACCACCTCATCATTCCCCTCCTTTTCTGCCTTCTGGGACTAATGCTTTATTAATCTCCTCACCTTCTCCTAATTTCTCACTCCGTATTTTCTGCAATAATATTTACATACCAACATTGCCTTAGAAAGACATATACATCTGCCTTCCAACCGGTATCCTCGCGGCGTGCATTTACACCCAAGCTTCACATCCATATAAGGGTGTTGTACTACTATACTTTCATACCATTCCCCTCTTTGCCTCCATAGATAACGGTTTTGACTCCCCAATATACATCAAGCACCAATCACATTTTTTCCTCATCAATGCTATGATTAACCTCATTCTTCATAAATTCCATCCGCCGACACCGTTTCAACTCCCAAGTATCTGAAAAAAACAGTCACTTTGCCATATCCGCCTCCCAATTTTGATATCCAATTTTTCTTTATCTAAAATCTTTGGATACCCTCATCACCGTACTCTTTTCTATGTTCACTTTCAAACTTTCTCCTTTACACACATTCTCAAACTCATCACTAACCTTTGCAATTTTTCTTTAGAATCGCCATTAAGCACAGTATCATCAGCAAAAATGTAACTGTGTCTATTCCATTTTCTTTAATTGGATTCCCCTTAATTTATTCCCACCCCTCTCCCGAACACCCTAAGATTTACGTCTTTTACTACCCCATTATAATATATATGATACAACCTTGGTGACATTACACATCCCGGTCTAAGACCTACTATTTACGGGGAAGTATTCTCCCCTCTCTTCTACACACCCTATATATATATATTATATATAATATATATATATATATTTATGATATATATATTATAGTTTTTTATATATATATATATATATATAATATATATAATTTTATATTTATCTTATATATATATATATATATATATATATATATATATATATATATAATATTCTATATATAATATATAATTTATATATATATATATATTATCTATAATTATATATAATATGTATATATAATTATATATATATAATTATATATAATTATATAATATATATATATATAATATATATTTATATATTATATATTTATTATATAATTTTATATTTATATATATATATATAAT